GCACCATAAACGCCCGCGGGGCTCTCGTGGAAATCTTCACCTCCTAATTTAAAGAAAATGTATCCCCGTGAAGCAGGATGCCTTTTTAGACCTTGTAATATCTAATCTTATCTAATCATTTTTTCACGTGCGTTAATTGTCCAGTGGAGAAGTGATGAGCAAAAACCATTCACCTCCGAGCAGTTGACAGAAACTAATATTTTTGGTTTATCATTCTATGGCCACTAAAACGGTTATTCATCTCACTTGTATCAGAGTAGGGGATATTTACCAAGCTGCTAAGCTGCGCGGCAAATATATAGAGGTCCTACTTCAACTTGTGTTACAAAATATAGAAAACAAACTGGTTATTCTGGTTTTTTTTTGCAACAAGTGTCGTGAAATGACAGCGCCTTCAACACCAGTTTAATCCTCTTACCCAGGTCCCTCAGTTTTAAACGCATGATTGAATTTGATGTGTAATTTGAATACAAGTGTCGACTAGTAAGTGTCTGGATCAAACAGCACTGTTCGCACTGCGACCGAGCAGATTCGAAATGGCACTTAACAGACGCGACTTGAAGGTGATCTCGGTCATCCAGCTTATCATCTTTTTGGTGTTTTTCATTTTGGGCCTTGTGGATGGATTACATGTGCGCTTCGCATTTTCCAGCATGACTTTCACATCAATCTGGCTAGCCATCCTTGTAAGTATGCATTAGGTTAGGAAATTCCTACCCTAAGTGAAAATTTAACGATCTCTCGCCTCGATTTTACGGAAGAAAATCCGTGTGGGGCGCCAAAATTGTGAAATCTTATGCATGGTGAGTCCAATGAAGCCCCGGCATTTTTCATTTATCAACACATGATGCGAAAACTTTCAAATCGACCGAAGACCGAAGACCGAAGAAGCATGTGCTGTCCTCCAAGCAATTTGCATCGGTAATCTGTTTTAGCGCATTTGGAATAAATCACTGACAAGTCAATTTTTCAAATGCTTACCAAGGACTTTAGAATCGCCGGGTGCAAGTTGTAGTCTTCATATAAAAGATAAACTTACGAGCCTTGATTTATATTACGGTAAATTGCTCGTGAACAAATCTTGATACTGCTTGACTCGCTCAGTCGCGTGTATTTCGTCATGGCTCACGTACTGCAGGTTTAGGCGCTTGTCCCGCAAGAATTGCTTCAAATTATAACAGTTTCTCTCATGAATAATCGAGCGTTTGCACCCTTTCTCGTTTAAGGTATTTCTGTACAACAGTAACCAGTAAACAAAGGTTATCACCTTCTCTCAAGGCACTTATAAACTCCTCGAGAATTTTTGCTCCCAAATTCAACTTCCTGCATTGCAACTAACGTGTTGCCTGTCAACGAGCATGCGAAAATTCTCACATACATGCTATCAACTGCCATTAAAATAACCTTAAATTTCTTAAACCTCCATCTTTTGGCCACAGTCAAGTTGCATTCCTGCTCACTGACCTCTCAGAAACATCAATTTCACAATATTTTCTTCGATTCTTTAGATCTTACAGATCATCTACCAAATTTCCTCATTGTTAAAAAATATTCTTCTTACCTAATAATGTCACGATCTACAAATTAAGAGATTACCCTAATTTTTTTAGTGAATCTGCTCCAATTCAAGATATTCAGTCAGTTGATAGGGAAGGTGTATTAGATGTTAATTCTGACATGTAATGTTTAATTCCATTAACTCCACAATTCTCGGAAATAACTGATGCTTATATTCCTATTGAACAACTTTCTAAACATGAATTAAAAGTGAAATGTAAACCATGGATATAACTACTGCATTATGAGTCTAAATTTACTTTAAAAATAAACTTTTTAAGAAGTACATTACAACCAAATCTGCATTTTAATTATCACGCAAAATTTAAACTTTATGGGAATAAACTAAACCACTTCTGTACAAATATGTCTGATTCTAAAGAGTTTGGAAGGGGATAAGACAACTTGTAAACCTTTAATCCAGGTCTGGCAGTAGAAGTCCCACTAAATTCCCTATTAAGGGTCATGTTGAAATAAATGATCCTTAGTCTATGGCTTAAATGCTTTTAACATTTTTTTTTTACTAATATTGGAAATTAAATTTGAAAAACAGTATTCCCTAAGTGTAAATAAATCTCCCATTCAGTATCTCACAACTCCATCCCAAGATAATTTTTTTTATTTCCCTCAGCAACGGTGGAAATCCAAAATGAAATTACTGGCCAAAAAGCTGACAATTCTACTGCACCCTTTAACATTCCAATTAAAATACTCTAAAAGCTTAACTAAACATGCTGCATCGATCCAAACCTGTATAAATTATTATTTTTTTTAATAATTATTATTGTTTAATGCCTTGTCCACTGGAATTGTCCCAGATAAATTTAAAATAGCTTAAGTTACCCCAGGCCTTTTTTAGGAAGGGCGTTCAAACAAGTTTAAACAATCATCATTCCATTTCTATTCTATCTATATTCAATGAATTATTAGAAAAATTGAGGCATAAGAATAGATTAGATTTTTGAAAAAGAAAAAAGGACTTTATTGCAAGTAGTTTGGTTTTCCATATGAGGCACTCCACTGGAAGCATTATAGACTGATACAACATGCAATATTGCCATGAATTTTCCTGTGATATTTGTTTGGATTTCAGTAAAGCCTATGATACTGTTAATCATAACATAATCTTAATTGAAAAACTTGCTTACCATGGCATTCATGGAGTGACAAAAGATTGGTTCACCTCATAACTTACCAACAAATTCCAGTTTGTTTCCTTGAGGCATTAACTGGGTGGGCCTGGAGCTTTACCTAGTGTTTCTTGTGGTGTTCCTGAAGGCCCCAGTTCTTAGCCCATTATTGTTTCTCAAGTATATTAATGACATTAGTAAATGCTCTAAAATACTAAACTGCCATTTATTTGCAGATGATGGCAATCTAGCTGTTTTATAGGCATAAAAATCTAACAGTGCTTGAATCCATTTTTAATGATGAATAAGTTAAATTAAATAGCCATACCTGGTTGAGTGCTAACAAACTGTCATTCAATTTTGATAAATCTAATTTTGTCATTTTCCACTTTCCACAAAGAAAATGGCCCTTTAATGTCACACTCTCTTTAAACGGCATTAAACTTAAACCAAGAGTTTTCAATAAGTTATCTAGGTCTTATAATAGATTCTAACTAATCATGGAAATGTGGAGTAAGCTACATTGCTAAAAGATTAAGCAAATATTGGTATTCTTTCTAAACTGCATTATTATGTGAATTAATGTAGACATTGTGCTTAACCTACATTATGCCTGGGTTTATCCCTTACTAACCTATGGTTTAATTTCTTGGGATGACCCATAATTTCTTGCACTATTCAGCCTTTGCAGTTCATTAAATGCAAATTAAAGTGAGCAATTCAAATCATGACATTTTCTAAATTTTCGTGATCATTCTAGTCCCGTTTTTAGGCATTCAAATATTAAGCTGCCTTATCTTGTCTTTCTTAATATTGCAGTCTGTGTACAAATTTCACAACAGATGTCTATATATCTGTATTTGATACTTTCTTCATGCAAGGCAAAAGACACAACTACAATACTAGAAGTGCTTTGAATATATGTTTTACACCTAGCCAGGGACTGCGGAAGGGCCCCACCACTTTTTTGCGCCCCACCCCCACTTTCTGCGCTTAAAAGAAAAATAATTACTATGATTTTATTCCTTTTTTCGATTTTCAATATGAAAAAATTATTTTCAATCGTCAGCCCTCCCACTTTACACCTCACTCCACAGTCCTTGTTAACCTAATGTAAGAACAAATTATGGCACATTTTCAACATAAGGTTTAAGGGTCCTAGCATATGGAATTCTTTTAGTGAAAACTCTAAATCCTTTCCTCTTTCAAAATATAACGAATCAGTCAAATGCAGTAATGTTAATGATTATTAGATATATGTATTCATATTATGCATTAACTGCTGTGTTTTTTCCCAAATTATCTGGATAATTAATTGTTCTTTCATTAAATTCTGTCAACCTTTAATTTCTAAGCCTTGATATAAATTATTTAATTTGTAGTTTATATAATATGTATATAATGTTATAGCATTATGTTATTAGTTAATTTGTCAAAATTACTATGTGACTGTGTGTGCTTTTCTTATTTTGATGATTTAAACTATCTCGTAGTTTAATCTAATTATTTCAGACTTAGGCTTAGTGGCAGCATTTTTCCTCTTTTTTTCCTTTCTTTTTATATGTGTATTTGTGCTATCTTGCTGACCATTAATTTACTTTTATTTAATGTTGTTGTCTACTGGCTGCCTGGCTCCACCACTGAGCCCCTTTGGTTATTCCAGACAGCCAATACACTATTTAATTCAAATATTGTTTTTCAACGTTAACTTGACACAGGCAAGGGAGTACAAATAAAGATCGTTGTAACTTGTAACTTGTAACTTTTCCGGTGAAAAAGAGCATGAAAATGACTATTGTAACGATAAAAAATCTTTGATTTATCTCTGTATCAACATACTAAAAAGTTACGAATTACACTCATAAGCCAAAGTGTTTTACCCTCTGTAATTTTTCACCAAAGTTAGGTTAGAGCCGACCAGGGCTAGACAATGATTCCAGTCCATCTTAACACGTATTTAACTGCAATCTAAACAACTACTACTGATTAATAGCAAGCTAAAGTTGCTCTCAGCGATCCCCTCGCCCGACTCTTACGCTTCTTTGGTGCTTTTAAAACAAACTCCGGCGCGCATCCATTACTCATTAGTGAAGGCTGTGGGGTTATCACCTCTTTTATAACATAACATTCATACATTTTGGCAAAAGAGTTCCCTTCTGTTTAACCCTAAAACCTTGCTTGACCAGAACAAACAGGCGCGCAGAAACTAGTATTTGCATTCGTTTGCGATCAGCACTTTACTTTGGTAATGTTATGATAATATTTATTATCATACTCTATTTTTTCTTTAAGGTGTTGAACGCTGGTATCATGGGCATAACTTTGAGCACCATGCAGAGACCTTCCTTAACCCTGGTATGAACTTATGAACGACTGTATTTGCGCTTCTTAAAGCATTCATTCATTATCCACCATGCAGATTGTATACATGTTAAATAATTTACGCGTTAGATAGACCAGATACATGTACCTTGAGACTATAATCAACTCAGTTGTGCTGCAAAAATAGCTACCAATTTTTGTTTTTTGTTTTGTTTTTTTTAAGGGAAATTAGCAGCTTATTGTGATGCCATTTTTAATATGATTTGTTTACTTCCTGGCTCTTGGCAGATGAATTTCTTGCAGTCTGTGTGCGTAACCTGTGCTGCAATATCAGCTATAACCATGTACCACTACCTGTACGCTTGGTCCCAATTGGTGGCTGTGAGTCAATCATCGCTAACTAGTAATACACTGGATCCCTATTTCTTGACAACAGACAAGGAAGCAAAATACACTCCAAAGCAAAAATCCATGGTGACTGTTTCCTTCCTGACCATCATGTTCTCCATCATTGAGATCATTCTTGCGGTGGCAACCATCAGGACTAGTGATGTAGGTGACAAGGGCTCGCAGGAACCTCAAGTAAGAGAAGCAAACCTTTGATCTATGCTTGACTTTTTCAGGCTCAATTTCGTTGTAAACATAATCAGTTTCATGGTCCATCAGTCGATCATTCGGTCAGTC